AGTTTCTGCACAGGAATTCTTTCAATAAAGTAGTGCTCTCGAAATATCTACTAGCTAAATTATTTTGCATATGCATGATATGAGTTTCTGGTAAGAACTTTCAAAGGTCACACAAATGAAATTCTTCCTGCCATTTTACATCTAAGAGATTCTTCATATTTAAAAATATTCAAACACATTGAAAAGAAAGGATGAAGAATAAAATAGATAAAACACATATTTAATTGATTATGAGTAAGGAATAATTTCACATTCCTCTATTTTCAAACAATGGGGTTTTTTAATAAGCTTTTTAGAATCTAAAGTTTGACCTGACTTTCACTTTTGTACATTTGTGAGTACCCAGACTTGTGTTAGCAGAAATTGTTGCTCTGAAGTACATATCAGCATCTCAAATTATGCAAAATACTTTAATAAAAAAGAGGATTCTGGACAATGAAGCATTTTAATTTAGAAGTCTTATTAAAATGTAAGATAATTGTTGGCTCAAACTTGAATATATGATTAACAATTACATGTGGTATGTGTTTGTGCATACAATGCACATCTTATATTTTTACCTTTTATTAAAATATACATATCAAATAATCTAGTTTTCCCTTTCTAAGTATCTTGGTTTCATTCATTTTATATTTATAGTATCAATCATTCAATGTCTTCTATATGCCAGGCACTTTCTGGACACAAGAGGCACAATAGGGACCAAAATACATCTTTGCATAAATTAACACCTCATCTTCTAAATTAGAATACAGCTTTTGAAAGACAGAATGATGTATTTTATTACTTTTAAAATGTTTCTTGTGATCTACCACTATGACCTAAATATAGCAGGTACATAATACTCCAAGTTAACAGAGAACAAGATATATTTCCCATTGTTCTTACTAAACTTTTCTTTGTAAAACATATCTGGCTTTTTTAGATCCAGGTTTCATTTGAATAATGACCTCTGTTACCTGCTGGCCAATGTCTTTGCTTACCTTCCTATGCTACTCTTCCTGTTTCTATAGTTTTAGTTCATGTTAAAGTCTGGCTTTTGTGTGACTCTGATGCCAGGAGAGCAAAAGTTGAAGAACAAAGGAACAAACATTGTTTTCACCTTTTTAAGGTGTTACATATTTCAGCATTTCATGCTTCACCTTCTAAGATCTCTAATTTGATTAAGTATCCATATTTTTTTACCCTGCTTTTCACTCATAATTCAGTAAAAGACCATTTTTCTAATAAACATTTAATGAGCTCCTATCAAATACTAGTCATTAGAGTAGTCTAATGGCCCAGTCTCTGTCCTTAAGACATTCACAGTCTTGAAAGAGATGAAGAGTAAGCTGACAAATGAAAATACACTGATAGAGAGTTTTCAGAGAAAATTTATGAAGAAACTCATGCCTGGTAAGACTGTTTGATGGAAAATTGAAGGAAAGTTGGGTAGAAAGGATTGAAGACAGAGAGGGTAGCATAAAGAAAGGCCAAGAGATAATCAGCAACATTTTTCCTCCCAGGGAAATTATCAACAATTTTCTGTCAGTGAATCATGAATGTAAAGGTGGAGGCAGACCAGAGAGCTTCTCTAGTGCAATTCAAGCAGCTTGGCCTTTTTCTTAGAGGGGATAGGAGGCCATAGTTAGACTCCAAGAGAGTTAACACTGAACTTGTATATCATTCAATGTGATAGCCAAGGGATGGGATGCATTTGAGCTAATTGAGATCAAAGGTAGGGAGGAAAGTGGTGGGTGCATGTCAGAAAGTGAAGTAAAAGATGCTGAAGCTTTGAACTATGCTGCTGCTGCTGCTGCTGCTAAGTCGCTTCAGTCGTGTGTGCTGTGCAATCCCATGGACGGCAGCCCACCAGGCTCCTCTGTCCCTGGGATTCTCCAGGCAAGAACATGGCATTTGAAAATATAAAGGAAAGATTATTATAAGTGAATAACAGAATAGCTGTAGGAATTGAGGGAATTGGGGGCATGTGTATGGATGTGAGAGTTGGACTATAAAGAAAGCTGAACACTGAAGAATTGATGCTTTTGAACTGTGGTGTTGGAAAAGACTCTTGAGAGTCCCTTGGACTGCAAGGAGATCCAATCAGTCCATCCTAAAGATCAGTCCTGAATATTCACTGGAAGGACTGATGCTGAAACTCCAATACTTTGGACACTGATGTGAAGTATCGACTCATTGGAAAAGACCCTGATGCTGGGAAAGATTGAAGGCAGGAGGAGAAGGGGATGCAGAGGATGAGATGGTTGGATGTTATCACCAATGCAATGGACATGAGTTTGAGTAGGCTCTGGGAGGTGGTGATGGACAGGGAAGCCTGGCATGCTACAGTCCACGGGTCGCAGAGTCAGACATGACTGAGCAACTGAACTGAAGGGGATAAAAATGAAAAGTGGAATTTTTCCACTTAAGGTCAGAGTCAAAGTGTGGCAGTAACTAATAACAAACACATGATTAAGAAAATTTTCTTGTTATCCTGGTTTTATATTACATTAAGCATTTTTAGCATGGAGAAATGTTTCTTATTTAATCATTCAGCTTTTTAGGGTTCATTTTTATTCTCACTTGCTGTTGGCTTTCTATAGTCCCTCAATGACATTTTCTGTTGGAATCCTTACTTTTCTGCTTCTTTCAAATAAATCATTAGATTTATTGTATCCATCTGCCTATTGATTCCATCTTAATCCCTGATACTGTCTATTTAGTTACCTTTGTTTCTACACTATGGCCCATCCTAGCCCACCTTTGAGTCCTGCCTGGCCCCTGAGAACCTAACCTGGTATCAGTATCCTGTTTGGTCCCTTAGTGAAGAGGATCTGTATTTAAAACAAAATCTATAATCCAACAAAGAGATAAAGCAAAACATATTAACAGATTAAAAAACATGATATATAGCTTTTTAAAAAATACAAAGGTTTAATTCTATTTCTCAAAGCAAAAAGATTTGCACGTTATTATTTGACTGAGGACTCTGTAGAGAAAATAAGTTAATCAATAGCAGATATTCAGCTCCTTCTGTTTCCAAAACTCTTAACTGATGTCTTAAGGCTTAAAAAATATAAATAACTTTAAAAAAATATATACATAACTTTTAATGGATGTAGATACTTAGGGATGGTTATAAATGGTAAAGATGCTAGGTGAAATGGACATATTTATTGAGTATTTTATATTTGCTACATATAGTAGGAATTTCAAGAAAAATTTAAAATATAGAGGAAGTGACCTTTGCTCTTAAGGAACTTTCAAGACAAAAGTGGAGGAAACTAATGTGGAAAAATCGTGATAATAGACAAAACGGAAAGTAGTACTCAAACATTATGGACTCGGTGCCCTGGGGGTCAGGGAGAAAAAGAGACCAGATCTAATCTGGACAATCAAAGGAAGTAAAAATAAACAAGTATTATTTGAACTACATTTGCCAACAGATGAGAAACATATCTGGAAAACATATGATGCAAGTTGAGAAATCAGAATTGCTTTTTCCAAAACAGTAAGTTGTACAATTTGGCTATAGGCCACTTTGGAAAATATAGGGTAATAGGGAAAAATAAAGGTGGAAATTTAGCAAGGATCAGAGCATAGAAGGGCTTGAATATGAGCCCAAAGAGTCTTTATTTGATATAATTGTAAACACAATGTTTCTGAGCAGAGACATGACTATCTCATACACGTAAAAGATTAATTTGGCATCACTGCTGTAAGTGGTAACTAGAGAAAACAGACCAAAGGTTGGAAGGAAAACTAAAGGGATAGTTCAAATAGTCCACATGACAGCAATAAGGTTAGGGTCATGAACTTGATAAAAGAGACAAGGACACAGGTGTAAGATACATTGTTACAGTGAATTGATAGCATTTGGTGATTGGATGTGCAGAGCAGAGAAAGATTAAAAAAGACTAAAGTTTTACATTCTATGTGACTCAAAATAATAACTAAAATATTTACAGGGAGAAAGACTTCAAAGGATAAATGGCTTAGTGATGGAAGATAATCACTTTAATACATAGTTTACTATATATGTAAGGCAATTGGAAATCATGTAGCAATGGCAAAAGGAAATCATATAGCTTTGAAGAAAACAGAGATTATGTCAAGAATTTGGAGGTCAAATTTCCAGAACTAAAGAACGAGATGAAATAAATAAGAAAATAAATCCAGAAATGGAAAGTGAAAAGCCAAAGGCAGTAATGGTTTAGTGTTAGAGGAGCTCCCCCAAAAGATTCAGGATATAGGTGTTATTAAGTGTTTAACAGAACTGCCAATGGATCCAAGACAAATGATGTCATGACTAAATGTTCACTGATGATTTTCAAGGAAACGATTTTGGTAAAGAAGTGGAAGTTGAACCACAGTGGAAGATAATTATAGAGTAATCTTTCTAGATTGGTAGTAAAAGAAAAGAGAAAAAGAGAAAACCAGTGTAAGAAACACAATCACGAGAATGTTCTTTTGATCTAAAGGTGACCTGAACATTCTAGTGGGCAGTGGGAAGACATCCAGGGAGGGAAGGAAGGGCCACTTGAGAAAAGAGGTGGTTATAGATGCTGCAAAGTGTTTTAATGAGGTAATAAATGAATGACTCACAAGGGTCAAGTAGTCTGTGATCAGGGTCCAGGAGATGAACAGGGAAAACAAAAATAGGAAAAAGGTAGCAATCACAAAGTAGTTAATGAAACAGTTTGGTGAGCAGGAGATGAGAGAGTGGAAGACTGGGAGGCTATGGACAATGAGGACCAAAGAAAGGACATGTAACCAGAGATACAGAAAATAAATTGGTATCTTGAGAATCATAATTAGAAGAACAATTCTCCAGTCATTTTTTAAAAACACAGAGCCTGTAAATGTGAGAACATAAGGGTGAATAAAGGGAAAAATTGTTTTAACATTCAGTTTTAATTTTTTTTGAGTAATGTCAAAACATGGAATTGAGGATTTTCCAGGAAAACAGAAAGTAAACAATGATCACACTCGTGGAGACTGAGGACAATAAATCTTACCTCTCTCAGAGGATCATTGAGTTCATTGAGAATATTTTCCTCATCAAAGATTTTGCCTTGGTATCTGTGTTCATAATAATCATGTATCTTCTGACGCATATCAGCTGGTAACTTATGGAACGACATGTATTGTTCCACTTGCTTATACTGTAAGGAAAGGAAAAAACAGAAATTAGAAAACGTTGTTAGGCTGTATGAGAAACCATGATGTGATTTCGTTATGCTATATTCAATAACTTTTGAGTAACAGTAACAAAATGAAGAAATTCTTTAAGGTGAAGGAATTAATGTACTAGGTTGCAAAGTACCTACTCAATGTCACATACTATAGACGGTATGTGTTTAGGTAAACATTTCCTGTAAAGACCTGAAAAGTTACGGGGAGGAAGCGTGGAAGGAGTTCAGAGTGAACTGGGTATAGCCCCAAAAATCCAGTGATGAGGCAAGAAAAAACATATGTAACACTATTAAAAAAAAATAGCAGTTCTAAAAGAAGTATGCAGTTGCTGTTAAGGATTTGGAGAAAGAATCTCATAACTTTGGATAGAACAAAGGTTTTATCTTAGACCTTACAGCCAAAGATAAGACCTAATTAAAATTTTAATCTGGATGCACAAAGTTTGGCAACCGTTTATAAGTCATATATACTCAAGCGACACTCATGCCCTATAAATTAAGAGACTATGTTTGACTTAAATTTAGGATGTAGAAAAACATCAGAATGAGACTAGATCCACATAGTTTTATAGCTGAAACTTAATTTAGACACTTAATTTTATTTAAATAAGTACTTCTTAAACCTGATTGTTTATAAAATTTGGGCTGAGGTGGTCTTTGGGGAATGATTTGCATTCCTAACTCCAGATATTGATTCTGTTGAGGGACTTGCCTTTGTAAATTTATATACATACCCATATACATAAACACACACTTTAAAAAAAAGTCTCTACAAATCAAACAGGAACCCAGAAGCACATATATTACTTGGTAGCTTATTAGAGGAGAATTTCAGACTTTAAAAAATCAGAATCTGCATCTTAAGAAAGATGCCCTGGATGACTCACACACATTTAAATTTGAGAAATATTCGCTTGATATTTCAAATGCAGGGAATCATAAGACTATACTTTGAAAAAAATTGGTTAGAACCCCCTAAATTAGTTCCACTGTGCAGATGATAAAGCTGAGTACAAATAAAAAGGTAGGTATAAAATTGGATGAAGATAATGGAAAAAAATCTTTCCTTAAACATGACACATTTGGTGTATTATCTATGAATATTTTTGTTTCAAATCTTTTCCTGATAATAGAGCTCAAGCCAGAAGATCTAAAAGACTGGACTCCTTGCCCATATTTATTGTAAATATAACTGGTAATTGATAATAAATATACCTAATGGGAAACAGCAACCCCTTGTATTGTGCTTCTTCAAATATTTTTAAGTACATTTTTTACACATAAAATTCATAGTTTTTGGACATTCTCTTTTAGAGATTAGTATTCTCAAAGGAAACACAACTTGGTCATGAGATCCCTTTATTTGGTCACCAGGCTGTTCCTTAAAGTAAAGACTGCTGGCTTAACTACTGTGGGTGTGTATGTATGCACCTACAGTAACCCTAGTAGGTTACACACATGCACACACACACACACACATTTACATATTAAAGTAAAACCTGCAGGCTTACTACTACTGTAGGCACACACACACACATATATTGATGATTTTGAGATGTTGTGCTTCAGAATACTCTTGAGAGTCCCTTGGACAGCACAGAGAACAAACCAGTAAATCCTAAAGCAAATCAACTTTGAATATTCATTGGAAAGACTGATGCTAAAGCTGAAGCTCCAACATTTTGGCCACCTGATGTGAAGAGCCGACTCTTGGAAAAGACCATGATGCTGGGAAAGATTGAGGGCAGGAGAAGTAGGGGGTGACAGGATGAGATGGTTGGATGGCATCACTGACTCAATGGACATGAGCTTGAGCAAACTCCAGGAAACAGTGAAGGACACAGTGAAGCCTGGTGTGCTGCAGTCCTTGGGGTCACAAACAGTCGAGACACTACTGAACAACAACAAATATATATGCATATGCATGTGTGTATGTTCAGTCGCTTCAGTAGTGTCTGACTTTTTGCAACCCTATGAACTGAAGCCAGGCTCCTCTGTTGATGGGATTTTCCATGCAAGAATGCTGGAGTGGGTTCCCATGCTCTCCTCTGGAGATCTTCCCGACCTAGGGATGGAACCTGGGTCTTCTGGGTTGCAGGCAGATTCTTTACTTGCTGAGCCATCTGGAAAGCCAATATGGGCTTTACATATACAACACACACACACTTATATGAAGCAAATTGATTATGATTTCAGACTCTGAATTTAGGTACCAATGCTGTCACTGTCATTGTGTGTTAATGGCTTCTTGTATGTACTTGAGAAGGACTGGGTTAATTTTTCCTGAAGAAGTCAGAATCTGTGTGCCTACTTAACCTTGGTAGCCTACCCCTAGCTAGAGACCTGGGATTCAGCCTCCTTGACCCCTTGGGCAGCTGGTTCTAAGGAAAGAAGTGTCAGCTTTTCTCTGTCCTACAAGATTGCTGTGTAGGATAAAGTTCATTTGTAGCTGTACTGGAAAAGCTCTATCCTTATTTTTAGAGACATTTGTGTATCTGATTTTTACTTACAGCCAAGAAGAAGGCAGTGGGATATTTGATGTACTGTTTAGAATCTGAAATACCACTGGATACCCACAAGGCTAACTTATGCATGATGACTAGCAACTAGCCTACTTGATTTGACTAGTTTGGGTGGACTATTTAAAGACCTACTGAGAGCTTTGTGGTGAGCGCTTCCCAAACCGACCCTTTTGTGACTTCAAGGACTACTGCCAACCAGGCTCCTGTGTCCATAGGATTTCTCAGGCAAGAATACTGGAATGGGTTGCCATTTCCTTCTCCAGAGGATCTTTCCAACCTAGGAATCAAATCCGAGTCTCCTGCACTGGCAAGCAGGTTCTTCACCACTGAGTCACCAGGGAAACCTGAAGACTGGTCAGTTCTATCAAATAACCAAACTTGGGAAAACAATAAAATAGCTTCAGACAACAGAGCTGCCACAGTTTGGACACTTAGAGCACTGATGAAAGTCCTTTCGATTCTGAGCAAATGAAGAATTCTAACCTGCAGAATTCTTTCTGTAGGACCAGTATGTGCCAAGTAACCTCTACTCACTTTTCTCAACTGATTGCTTGCCCATACAGTGCTTGGGATGATGAGAATCTTGAATGTTAACCGGCATACTGAGCTCTAGAGTTCTCCCCTCTCTACATGCATCTCTGGGGTATGGGAGGCAGCATTAAAATTTAGCAGCATTTTAATCATTTTGGGAAATTTTTGCATACAAAAATCTGCTCATCTAGAGAAAAAATAATAATCTGCTATATGAATGATCTGTGAAGTTAAAAAATACTTGATTAGCTAAATAAAAATGTGACCTATAAAATTGCTTGATTTTCATGGAAAGTCAGGATGGGTTGAATCTACTTATTTTTCCTTCTTCTCAATCCCTTTAGGCTTCAGTTTAATGATCTACAGTAAGAGGGTGTTACACCAATGAATCTTCCTTGTTTCTTCAGACAGAAGTTCTATGAATATTTTTTGTCATTTACTGAGTTCAGTTCATTACTGAGTTCAGTTGACTTTGAGCATATATTACACATTTTAGACATTCATTTGCTCATAGAAATGATTTATCTAACAAGTATTAATTTATTGCTGTGTGCCAGTGGTTTTCAAGGTGTGGTTGCCAAAATGTCAGTATAACCTGGGAACTTAGAAATTCACATTCGTAGTCTCTACCCCAGGCCCACTGAATCAGAAAATCTGAATTAGAAAGTCTGGCAGTTTGTGTTTTAACAGGTCCTCCATACACTAAAATATCAGAACCACTTCTATATGCCAAGTACTGTGTTATCTTAGGACGTAAGGAAGTACATTTGAGGGAGTGTAGGGGAAAGAAAAAGAAATTCAGTTTCTGACAAGCTAAGTTTAAGATGCTCATGGCACATTCTAATGCTTATATGTAGGTCAGGCACTCAGAAGATAAAACACGCACAGAGTCAGTGACTAAGGGATCAGTAAGGATGCGTCAAATGAAGACATAAAAAGACAAAAAGTGGGACCGGTATTTTAAAAGCAGTTGAGTCATGGACCTTGAGCAAGTTAAGGGAACTCACATTAGCCAGCAAGATGTAAGAGCAGACAGAAAAGCTTGGTTAACAAAACCCAAAGAAGGATAAAGTTTCAAAGGATAAGGGGCCACTCAAAAGGAGTATATTCGGAGAGAAGAGATATTGAACCATGCTCTGAGAATTTGGGATTATGTTAGAACATGACACTTACTGAAAAGCTATTTATTATGAATAAAAATATCACTTTCATGTGAAGTGAAGAAATAAAAATAATAAATCTTTGAAGAGGATACCTAGCAGTAGATGGACAGGGAAATAAACTAGATGTTAAAATTATGCATAAGCTGGCAAAGTATTAATAAAAATGAAAAATAACAGTTTCTGTTAATTCTAGTGATGTGTATATATATATATATATATATATATATATATATATATATATATACACACACATATATATATATACACACAAAAGATAACCTGCATATAGATAACTAATCAATAAATTTTTGAAAAGCAAGGATTCAAATACAATTATTTCTTGAATACATGAAATAAAAAATTCATTCAATCAGATTTACAAACTATAAAAGAGGTACCATCTAAAAGTGTAATGTACTTCTATTTTTTAAATGTTCTGTGCAATTAAAGTTATAAGAAGCTGAAGTTGACTGGTTCTATAAAGACCTACAGCATCTTCCAGAACTAACACCAGACAAAGATGTCCTTATCATTATAGGGGATTGGAATGCAAAAGTAGAAAATCAAGAATACAAGGAATAACAGGCAAGTTTAGCCTTGAAGGACAAAATGAAGCAAGGTAAAGGCTAACAGAGCTTTGTCAAGAAAACATACTGGTGATAGCGAATATCTTTTCAAACAACAATCCAAGAAACAGCTCTGCACATGGACATCACCTGATGGTCAATACCAAAATCAGATTATGTTCTCTGCA